AAATAGCCATCGCAATGGTGTGTGGTGCGCTGCACAGGGCCACGTGCCTTTTAAGGGCCTTGCATTGCCTGCAAGCCTATAAACACTATTTAACTTAATAGTGATCAGGCTCTCACTGCTCTCCACACCCATTTTATATACAAAGACAGAAGTTGAACATGTTGATTTTACTTTTAATCTGACTAAACTGTAAGAAATAGAAGCTATCATCTGCAAAGGCGATGCACTGAGCACGTATGAATCAACATACAATAAATGCACAGGACCTGTTAAACGAGCTGAGTGCATGTGAATTCTTCTGACTGTGGCATCGGGAGAATGCTGCTTTTCAAAATTGAAACAAATTAAGAACCATTCGCGAGCATCAGTGTCTCAGGACCGACTTCAGTATGTGTGTTGTGTTTCGTGCTCATGCATGTCAGCAACCAGGGCCTCCTGTTCCGAGTTTGCACCGGGCCTCACACCTGTCACCTTATGACTCGGTTATTTGGCAGATTTAGGTGCAGTGGGTAAGTAGATCATTTTTAAATTCAATATTTCTTTAATAAGTTATATAGTTATAAATTGAACTGTATTAATTTCACTTATAGAACCAACTGGTCGGACCTCCTGGGTTAGAACTGAGGCTCTGATTCTCTGTGTTGATGGCTGCAGCTGCAAAGTGTTGCCCAGACAAAACAAATGTTTGTTTCTTTTGTACAGAATTCATGTGTATTATATAAGCATCATTTTTATCTTCTGTATAACTATTCTTACAAATCAAAGTGATTCTTACACACATACACACACACACACACACACCTGTACTGACACCATACTTGAGTGTGTCTCTACAGTCCACTAATATCTGCTCCAGAGTCTCTGGTTGTTCCGGCAGATCCAGACTGAAGCCCTCAAGTCCCTCCTTCAGCTGATGAGGATGGTGGAAGTCCAGGACCTAAAGCACAGAGAGCAGTGTCTTATATTTTGCCATTATCTGTGTCTAATGTTTAACTATGTACATTTGCATAAACATTCAATAAACATTTTTAACACAACTAACAGACTCAACAAACTGATCTGAAAAGCCAGTGGCGTTGTGGTGGTGGATCTGGACTCTCTGTCGGTGGTGTCAGAGAGGAAGATGCTGTCTGACACAGGCCTTATAACCTGTTTTTTGTGCAATATTACCTTTTTAATAATTAATGTACAATATTCTCTGGTGCTATTTATTCACTAGTGCTTTTTGGTTCACCATAACAATTCTTTAATAATGTAAATATAGTATATATCCACACTCCTTTATATTTTTTATATTTTCTTATATTTATATATTTCTTTATCTACCTACTTTATTATTATTTCTATTCCTTATGATGATAAGTTTGCAGCTGTGACAAAAGAATTTCCCCTCAGGGATCCATAAAGTATGTCTGATTGTGTCACGATTAGTGGTGTGGAGGCAGGTTGGAGGACCCAAACGCAGGACACAGAGCGAAGCAGGTATAGTTCAACGGGGGTTTATTGATGGAAAACAAACTAAAGGCGAGCACACTTACTGACAGAGTGGCTGGTTACAGGGAGACAAGACAAGCAAGGCTGGTTACAGGCAGGCAGAGAGTACACACACAACAGACTGGGAGGTAACATGAACAATGACCAGACCAAGACAAGACAGAAACACCAGGTATATATACACACACACACAGGGACTAACGAGCAGGGCGGGAGCAACACAGGTGACAGACATGAGACTAACGAGGCAGAGAGAGAGAGCAGAAAACAGAGAGACTTGACATGACAAGCAGACCTGGGGCAGAGTGAATAAGCGAGAACACAGAACTAGAACACAGTACAGAGCTTAACAGAGAACACAAGACCCGGAGTAAACACTAAAGACATGAACTAACGTACAAGACCAAGAACATGACATGGAATCAAAGACCAACTAAATAACAGATAATGAAGTGACCACACAATAACAGAGGAACTCAAAACACAACAGACTACATAGCAGATACTGGACACCAGACAGGACAGAACCCAAAACTCAACATACTAAGGCAGATACCAAACCCAAAAGTGCAACACAAAGGATGGCCAAGCGGCAGAGCGTGACAGATTCTGGAAGTCAACTCATACTGAAAAGTTATTTATTTGTACTGTATGCTTTATTGTCAATTTGCTAACCACTTCATGTCCAACAGATAGACTGGAAATGTTTGAATGTTGAATGAAGAATGTTGAGATACTGCAGACACAGCAGTCCTACATTATTTTGTTTATATTGTTGACAGAAAGAGTTGAGTACCTTAGAGCTCCTCTGATTTGACTTGCTGATGTAACTCAACAAGATGTTGACCAGCTCTTGCAGAAACCTTCTGGTCATCTCCTCGCCACGTGAAGCTGGGAGCAGGTCTGTGTACACACACACACACACACACACACACACACATTTAAACATTAGTTGCCTCACCTGTAAGAAATGGCACCTCTTTGTACAAACTTATTAAGCCGCACAAAGCTATCAGGGAAAGGCTTACTAACACACACTGCTAACAAAACAAAACAAAAGTCTCATTTTACTATTTGGTTTTCAGTAAATTCACTGTAGTGTTGCTGCCCGATCTCCTTGAAATAACGTTCATATAATACAGATTTTCTACAGCAAATATGTGTAGTCAGCAATGCCAACCAGATTACTATTTCTATCAACATAATAAGGTAACATTGTTGGTGTATGTATCTGGCAAATCTATCAAATGTTGATACTGACTGTAAATATTAAAGTAACAATATATTTAATTATTTTTCCTATTAAACGGTTGGGTTAAGGCAGTTGAGCGCCCACGAGGAAAGACAACACACAGTGTCACAATGCAAGTTCCACATAGATATTATAAAATAATAGTAGCCTAATGGTAGTGTTAATAATACAAATGTCAAGGGGCAGTAGGTGGCTTGCTGTCACAGATCCAGACTCTCCAACCTGCCCTTAAATGAGATGGTGTCTGCCTCCTGAACCCAAACTGGAACCTGATTCCACAGGAGAGGAGCTTGATAGCTGAACGCTCCGGCTCCCATTCTACTTTTGGAGGCTCTAGGAACCACAAGTAACCCTGCATTCTGGGAGTGCAGTGCTCTGGTGGGGTAGTAAGTTACTATGAGCTCATAGTATTCTGGGTTTTACAGGGAGCCAGTGCAGAGAAGCTAAAACGGGAGAAATATGATGTCTTTAACTGGTTCATTGGTGCTGTATATTCCTGGATCACCTGGAGGGATTTATTTGGGCAGCCTGATAAATAATTGCAATAATCCGTACGTAACAAATGCATTTTCTGCATAATTGTGAGACTGTCATGATTGGCTGTGCAACTCTCTCAGATCTCCACCAGCTCACACTGCCTGCCTGCCTGCCTGCTCACACACATTACAAATTTTACAATCACAAAACTAGCATTTTAAAACTCACTAAAGGTGCATCTAGTTTGGTTTCCAACCATTTTCTGTTTTTTGCCTACAGGCTGTAGGCTGTAGGCTCTTTTTTGCTTAGGAAGGTTCCTAACTGAGTGAAGTGAACCGGAAGTATTTCAGTGTCAGCCACAATGAGAGCTGTTCGAATTCTCAAAAAGCTAAGGAAAGGTGCCTCAATGCTTCCTTTCATATCTCCTTTAGATATGAAGGAAAGGAGAGAATGCATCACACAATGCGGCAACATTTAAAGCGACTCAAACGATAAAATCCATCAACCACATTTAGCAAGATCCTTGCAATACAGAAGCACCTTATGATACTTTAATAAAACTCACAATTACCTTCTTTCTTTTGGTTTGTTCTCTTTTGGCTTTTTGTAATCTAACACCGTTTCTGGTTGTTAAAATAAGCCATTAAGTGTTTTCTACAATAAAATTAATAAATAAATCACCAACGGATAAAGGAGGTTGATCACCATGTAGGTTACCATTGGCTATTAAGCCTTTTCTCTCTTATGCCATAACTTGCTAATACACATATATCTTAAACTGTCAACAATAACTGAGACCCATGGAGCTGTTATTGGTCTTGTAACGTAATCAAAGTGAGGATAATGTTGCAGCGTGTAGCCTCAAGTTATGTAGCCTACTGCAGCCTTCAGCAAATTAATACTATAGTCACAGATGCTGATACCCTCGCCTTAATAAAGGCAAAGATCCAGCTGGATAACCTCTACAGCAGGCGTTTCCCACACACTGATTTATTTGTGTTGGCCTGCCACATTATCAACGCTGATTTTCGACATCATGAGGTGGTTAGGAGATTTTTTTTACTTTTCGGATGCAGCGAAAAACTAAAACGCTGCCTATCAGTGACAGACGCCCCCAGTCCTGACAACTACTCAGACTGTCAGGAGACCTCGCCTGGCATGACCCGGGACAACCTATGCTCTCACCTTTGCTGTAGATACTGCTGAAGTCAGGAGGTGTCTGTCCTCTGACTGCTGCTGAATCCTCCTGCTCTTTGTCCTTCACAGATGGTGTGTCAATAATTCTATCTGCAAGTACAACAAATACATGTTTTTCTTAGCTGTGTTCCAGTCATAACCAGTCCTGCAAGATTTGGTTCTGTCACACAGGAACATTAACATGAACTTTTGATGTCCCAAGATTACATTACATTACATTTATTCATTTGGAAGATGCATTTTTTCCAAAGCGACTTACATTTGAGCAACAAAATACAAGCATAAACAAAGCATCAATACAGCAAGAGATCTACAAGTGACCATAGATACTAAATGATTCAATGAACTCCTCCCACACCACGCAATCCACACAGCCTTGCAGCATCAATGTTGCCTCCTCTGAAAAGAATTTCACCTTTCTGGTGAGCACTTCCCCCTAGTATGTACGATATGCTGGAAAAAGTTGCACTTTTGATTGAGCCATAACCCTGGTCCAGTATTTTGCCATTCTGGTGGGGCAAGACTCATATTTGTGAAAGCTCCTGAGAATTTTTTTACTCAGCTAATCAGAAGAAGAGTAGGGCGGTCAGAAGCCGGTAACACGACTTCCCTTCAGCTGTACATGTTCCCCTTACCAGCTTAGCAACGTGGACTGGAGCAAGAGTTTCAGAGTGGTGAGTTATTAATCTGTAACAAAAGTATTATTCATCCATAAAGTTTTACCTGAGCTCTGTCTCTACATCACAGTAACAACTTTATGTCCATTGACTGCCTGGAGGGTAGCTAGTGTTTGGAAGGGAGAGGAGAGGTGTGTGCTGCAGCTCAGTGTTTTTCCACTGGTGTTTTTGAGGGTGTGTCGGACTAGTCGCTAGGCGAACATTATGACGCGCGTTTTGCAGTGACGTCACAGAGAACAAAAGGAAAAGGTTGGACTACAAACTAACTGTTTTCAGGCAGCTCAGAGCAGAGTTTTCTGTGTAAGATGGGAACTCCCTCTGGGCTGGACTTCTGGGCTTTTTCACTTTGCAAAACTATTACATGCACAAAAAAATATATGTATAGCTCAATAAAGGAGAGGGGAAAAGCCAAAAACCATAATATGACTTCTTTAAGGAGGGACAGACTATAGAGGGCAGGAGAATGAGAGACCTTGGTTGCCATCTCCCTTGTTCCCATATTCACCCTCTCCTAACCTGCTGCCTTTTTCCTGGTGAAGGTGTTGGTGAAACTAACTTTTAATTTGGTCGCAGGCAAATTCATCAAGTTTGGGGAAAGTTTTGTTTGGTGGTAGTTTTGTGCTCGTAGCGTTGTTAAATTTAAGCAGAAAGTCTCAGGTGTACTGAATCTTGGAAGATTGAAAGGCCAACCTTCTGCCAGGTGAGACATGGACCACAGCACCACCAGTGTAGGAGCCAAATTGTGGTAGCACTTTACATTACAGCTCGGTACTAACATGGTAATAGTGGGGTAATAGTTTGATAATAAACAGGTAATAATTAGGTCATAGCATTTATTACCAAAGTAATAACCAGTTAATAGCTTGGTATTATTAATCATAGGTATATCTGGGTAATGTTAGACTGAGATTTATGTAACAGAGTAATGCAGAGCCAAAACTAAAGGGTTACAATAGGGAAAGATTGCAACGGATCAAAACTTTTTAGTAATATTATAGTTATATTTTGGTAACAATATGGTAACCTGCTAACAACAAAATGTGTATATCAGTGCAATATTGGATAGATTAGATGAATTAAAAACATGTAATGTGGTGGCGTTAATGGGGCAATAACCTGATAATAATATACCATAATAATAACCATATTAGAATGTTGAAATTCACCATCGTTTACATTTCAAACATTCCCTTTTGTTTCAGGAGTGTTATAGTAGATAATAGTACAAATGATTAATGCTATGTTGTTACTTGTTAGTTATTTATTGTGACTCACTCACAGTTATTTTGTCATGCCATATTGGGAAATTATGAGTTGACTTGTCAGTTGACGCCTACAACGACAGGCGTCAACTGACAACCCCTCCATAGAAAAGAGTTTCATGTACCTCACACGGATTTTCACTCCTCTTTTAGTTCAGTTTACTTCATGGTGCATCTCCAGCTATTTCTGATGCTAACACGTCAGATATTGTTCCTTTATGTATTCATCTTGTCTGCATTTAAATTAAGAAATGCAAACAATGCCAAATCACACAGTTTATCGCAAGCAGCTTCTGGACTGTCCTCCCTCTGTCTCATTTCAAATCAGTCTAATTTGATACAAACTGGTTGACACCTTCATGAACCAAGAATTTATGGGTTAGATTATAGATACTGCAGACTTTTTTAGCGACAGGGACAATGCTGGCTGTCTTGACACAGGTGGGATCACTCTGCTATGACAGTGAGTGGGTGAAAGTAGGCAGGAGAAGCAATGAAATTTGGTCTGACAGACCAGTATGCGGGCGTGGGAGGGATTTGTAACTGCCTGGAAAGGTTGTGAAAACAGGAGGTAGTTATCCACAACATAACCGTCTCAGTTATTGTGTTTTACCACTGTAATTAGGATTTGTGTATTTTTACAGTATGTTACTGTGTTAGTTCCTGCCACAGCTTGCATATTACTAAATATCTTTGACATTTGCTAATAACCAAACCTGCTGGATGTGGAAATGGTGGTGGAATTTAGGTTATAACAGATCTCAGGTCTGTTTGATTAAAATAACCAGCTACAATAAAAATACCATTTGGTTGTTTTGTCATGTTTGAAGGAAGTACCACATCTGCATGTGAAGGTCTGGGAAAAACACTTAAATCACAAATTTCCTAGAAGACATTGGTCAGAGTTCTGTTCTGGCTCTCCTATAAAAGTGTCTTTTAAGAAGGGACTTAAAAGAGTTCACTGACTCAGCCGACCTGATTTACTCGGGCAGGCTGTTCCAGAGCCTCGGGGCCCTGACAGCAAACGCTCTGTCCAACTTTAGTTTTCAGTCGAGACTCTGGAACAGACAACAGACCTCTGCCCGAGGATCTCAAGGTACGTGCTGGTGTGTATGGGACTAAAAGGTCAGAAATATAACAAGGCGAGAGGCCATGAAGAGCTTTAAAAGTGATCAATAGAATTTTAAAGTCAATTCTAAAACATACTGGGAGCCAGTGTAATAAAGCTAAAATAGGAGTAATGTGGTCATATTTCTTTGTTCTGGTTAAAAGCCTGGCAGCTGAGTTCTGGACAGTCTGGAGTCGATCAGTAGATTTTTGGGTTAAACAGGTGAAAAGGCTGTTGCAATAATCCAGGCAGTATCCATGGCAGTATTTGTTTTGCCATCTGCTGAGACCCGATGACCAGGATTTTTGTTTTGTCTGAGTTCAGCTGGAAGAAATTATTTGACATCCATTTTTTAACTTCACAAAGGCAGTTGTTAAGTGAACTCAGTATTCCAGGTTCTGTGGATCTGACGGGCAAGTATATTTGTGTGTCATCAGCATAAATATGAAAAGAAATGCCATGTACATGGATAATATGTCCAAGGAGAAGCAGATACAAGGAAAACAAAATGGGTGCTCAGACCGACCCCTGAGGCACACCATATTTAACTGGACAGAACGAAGAGACACAGTTGTTTACAGACACGCAAAACTTCCTATTTGACAGGTAGGATGAAAACCATTCTAGGGCGTACCAGAGATCCCCACCCAGTGCCTCAGTCTGTCTGTATATCAATCTATCAGTTTTTCTATCTATCCTCTTTTTACTTTCCACTACCATCTCTATCAAGGGTACATCAAAGGCGGAATTAAGGTCAGGAACTGAGCACTTTACATTTATTTATTTAGCCGACTCTTTTAGCCAAAGCGACTTACAATTGCTAATTATGTCAGAGGTGACACGCCTCTAGAGCAACTATGGGTTAAGTGTCTTGCTCAGGGACACAATGGGGGATGTCTCACAGTGATCGAACCCAGGTCTCCCACACCAAAGGCAAGCATCTTATCTATGCGCCATCACCACCCCTCCGATTGTCTTATCACTTCTCCATCACCACCATCGCCATCATTTTGCATATTATTCAAATGAGTGGAAGGATAATGTTATACTGAACAGCCACTAATGCTGCTTACTGTAATATGGACTGAAATTGGTTTTTAAATTAATTCATATATTGAAGCAGGTCACTTAATAAAATATGAATGCAAGAACTGACGTTTCAACTGTAAAATTTAAATTCATTTCATCTTTATAATTATTATAGATTTCTCTATAGATTGTATGGGGGGTATTGTTATAACAAACACAATATCTCTGGCTCTCGCTCTGATGTTTTACAATTAGCATCTTAGAACGTTTAAAGTCACTGTTGAAATGCTGGGCAATGAGGGTTATCTATAATCTAACCCAAGTCTGCAATGATTTTATGTCATGTACTTTCATTACATTACAAATCTGTCATCAGACACTGCTTTAAATGCTTAAATCTCTGCACTATACTGTTAGATACACATAATTCACTTTACTAATGTATTGTATAGAGAGAGTGTCATTAAATAACTCTTACCTGGCAGCTGTAAGAAATCCATGTCAATTCAAATCGATGACAGTTCTTCAGAGAGGTTTCAGAGCAATTTAGCTCAGTCCCACAGGAACTATTCTTTTATAACAGGTGAGGTGGGAGGTCAGATGAGATAACCCCAAAAGCATATTTCACTGAATCTTCTTTTGCTACGCTGTGTTGATAGTTCCTTGGAGGTCTGTGAAAGTAGTGCGACCTGAGACACATGAATGTGTTTGGCTGCTGCATTTAAAGCAACACAGATAAAGGGAGG